CCGAGGAAAAGAAAAAAAGGAAATTTATCGAAGCACTTTCGCTTTCTTTTTGTTTGGACTGTCTGTTAAACGGTGTTTTAACCGTTTGTTCAACTGTTTTTTTAACAATTTTCTTCTTTCCTTCATTTTGGCTTTCGAAGGAAGCCAGTATTATCCGAGCTTTTTCAAAATTTGTTTGAAACAACAGTAATTTTTTTTATTCATTTTTCTGCATTTCATATATTTGTTACAAATGTACCCTTATATTACGTTTTTTTCAAACCGAGTTTAAATGGCTAACGGTAAACTAATGGACAACTCTTCTATTCGCTTATATTTGTTTGTTTTATAGCGTTGTTCGGGGCCGTTTAGTCTGATAAGCAAGAACTTGTTGAATGTTTTGAGAAAATTTCTTTTAAAGGCAGAAACGAATTAGCGCAGAAGAAGAGGGGTAGAAAGAAGAGGAAAAGGCGTCACTAAAGAAAAAAGCCTTATGTCGTAAGCGTTTTTCAGTGATCGACAAAGGAAGATGGGGGAGAAGGATTGAATAGGGTAGAGAGGGATATAAGCTGTATAAACTTGAGAAAAAGGCTTTTTTTAAGTCTCCAAGTGCAAAGCTTTTTTCCTTTTTATTTTTATTTTATTTTGTTTTTTTTTTTCTTATTTATTTTATTGATAACATTAATCGTTATAAGGGGATTTGTTAGAGTAGTTTCAATGCTTCACCAGTTTGTTATTGCCACAAGCTGAACTCCGATAACACACAAACACACTCAAATACACGCTGAAATGGCTGCAACAGCAGCAACACGATGACGACGGTGGTGATGATACTGCTGTTGGTGCTGATGCTGACGAATCTTTAAGCGCGTGGACAGTTTTCTTTCTTTCCTCCTTTGCTTTCTTCCTACTTCTGGCTTAGTTCAGCTCATTTTTACAAATATCGACGTTTGGTGACTTCTAACAGTGTTATAAACTCTCTTCCACTTAATTTTGTTTCTAACTGTAGATGTTTTTTTATAAAATACTGTGGTAGAGTTATGATTATTATTGCTTTTATTGATATCATTGCCAACATTGCTAACACCATTATCGCGCTTTATTATTGCAACAAGTCATGAGGCTATTATTATTGTTTTTTATTATTTCGTCATTCTTTGTTTTACCCCTATTGTTGCTTTTAATAGTGGTGTCACTACCGTTAAATTGAAAAAAAATTGAGGCGAAACAAAATAAAGGAAAGAAAGAGAAAAATATGAGTATCAGAAACTACTCTAAGAAGATTTTTGTAGCAGCAACAATTTTATTTTTTTGACGCTTCTGTATCATCATTTAGTTGATTTAGTTTAGTTTGGTTTAGTTTGGTTTGTCCATTTTAAAAATTGCATCTGATTTTTTAAGTTGATAAATCTTTGATTTTTAAAAGTCTGATTAGTAATTTTTAGAATGGGGCTATGCATAGTGACGTTTTTAAATTTAACTTGAGAATTCTGTCCATTCTGTTTTTATTGAAAGCAACGTCTAAGGCCCTCATATATCAAATAGTGATATTAATTTATTACCAATTTGTTAAAAGAAAAAAATCTTTTTTCTGAGTCAACTAGTTGTCTGCATGATTACGTATACCAGATGCAAAATTGGGGCAGGATAGATCAGACAAACATTCTTGCCACTTTTATATCCACAGAATTGGTTTCTATACTTTCTTTTTTTTCGTTTGTGCCAATTTATTACTGCATTTATTCGTTATATGTCATTTGGTGTTATTTGCTTAGTAATTTCGCTGGCAGCATACCTATTGCATTGTAATTCGTTAATGATGTATGATGCTTTTTTCCCCGTTTACTCCATTTTCCTCCGCCTCCTTTATCTTTGTTATGTCAACAAGCGTATATAGTTGTTGCTGAAACTGTCTGGTTCAAGATATGTATGATTCATACGCAATGGGTGGCTTAATTAGATGGCTTAGCCGAGAAAAACAAATCAGTTTTTATCTACTCTAGGAATTTCATACATAATTCGTCCAATGGTCTGCTAAGTTGTCTGCTATTTTAGTTAGCTATGCTAACTATTATTTTTTTGCTGTCTACGAATTGTATACAAGCAAAATTACAGCAGATATCTATTGCCGGAGTGGGATATGTAAGAATTCGACTAAGAATGTGGGTTGTTTGTGGGTACAAGCAGAGGGGAACATATTGGGGGTAAGGTTGGTGGTACGGGAAGAAAAAAATTGAGAAGAAGGAACAAGACGGTGAAGAGCCGTACAGTGGCTATAATGACTGTTAGTTGTCCTGTCTGAGCTAAACTAGCAACAAAATCATATTATTTTGAGGAAAACGTCGACAAGAGAGCAATTTGCTTGTGGAATTTGTGGTGTGTTGTTGTCAACGCTGCAGTGGCGGCGCCTAAGCAGTGGATGTTATAGCAGTTAAGAGCGTGTGACGGAGCCAGCGATTGCTGCAGTTTTGGCTGCTACTGCTACTATTCCTGCTACTGCCAGTTTTGTTGTTGGCTCGAGTGCGGCTACTACGGCTACTATCACTGCTGCTGTTGCCTCTGTTTCTTGCTGTGCTGATTCTTCTGTACAACAGCATCTTGCTGCTGCATTTGGTGATTAATGCCGTGAAATAGTAAGAAATTGGTCATACCGTAGTACTGTTGATCATCGTTCCAAAAACGTTTTTGCTGATAAAGTTAGCGCTTTATCAGCGAACGCTGTAGTAATGAATGTACTATAATTATACTCTCTAATTATAGTTAAACGCCTATGCAGGTAAATAGAATTTGATAAAACTTTTTTTCTTTTTTTGAAAATGTAATGACTAAATAAATAGTTATAAAAATGTATACACGCGAAAAAATTCAATTTATTGTTATTTTTTTTAAAAATTAGTATCTTCTTATTCTGCTCTCCTTACCAGTTCTTTTTCCTGTTTGTTAAAGATGAGCAGGAAAGAAAAAAACTTGTTTTTATTGTCTGTTTTCTGCTATTTCATCAACAAAAAGGGTTCAATTCCCACTTAAATGATTTGTTCTTTGCAGCATTAAGTTAACCATTTTGACATCAACAACAGCGGCAACTTTCAATAGTAAAAAGCTTCTTTGACTAAGAGCACAACTTGGTGGTTTTCTGACCAACAAAGAAAGAATTTGTTTTAACAATTTCTTCTAAAAAAAAGGAAAGCATTTTTTTATAGTTTCATTTTTTTTTTTTTCGAACAGAGTTTCTGTTCAATCTTTCTTCTTTAGATTTAATGCCCGACTACAGCTGTCGCTATTGCTTTGTAAAATCTGTTGGAAGAAGAACCGTTTTTACCTTGTTAATCCACTAGCCAATCAAATTTCCCATCCTCTATGCATCATTTGTGATGACTTATTTAAACCTTAAAGATTCTTGTCACCCTAACTTACTGTTTTTGTTATTGCCTTTATTATTATTATTATCATCATTATTATCATTGTTATTATCATTATTATTGTTGCTATTATTATCATTATTAGTATTATTAATACTATCGTTACTATCAGCTACTACAATTTTTATTAATATTCTTACTATTACTCTTCTTTTAAAGCTTGGATTCGTTGCTTTATTTTTTAACTTTCGTTCATGAACAGTTTTGCAAAGATAAGCATTTTTATTTAACTTGGTTGTTGTCTACTTATCTTTAATCTCTTGTCGTTTTTCATCGTTTACTGTTGTGGAGTAAAGTTAAATGGGAGTGTCGCTGATTAATTGTTATTATTTGTTTGATTTAGCGTTGTTCCAGTTCTGTTTTTTTCTGTCTTTAATATTCATATTTTGTAGCTCGAAGGGGAAAGAGAGGGACGAAGGACTTTTGCTTTATCAGCATCTTCTTCGTTTGACAGTCATCAATATCATCATCAAAATCGTCACCGTCATCATCATTACTACCAGTATCGTCATCGGCAATATCATTGTCGCCGTTGCCCTCTAGCATTGCCACTATTAGCATTCGAACGGAAATCACATATTATTCACTGTACCGAATAATGATATGGGATGCCGCTTGTCAAAGAGTTCCAGCGACGAACAGCTTCAGTTCCAAAAGCAGCCATTAAAAGCCGGTTTCACCACGCCGTCTGCGACATCTCAGAGTCTTCAGTCGTCTCGCTCAGAAGCCTCTGGTGCTGCAAATGGTCAAACTGTTGGCTGTGGAACTCGAGAATCGCCATCGCCAACACAAGATCGCCTATCTTCGTCTCAGTCAACCAGGTACGCACCATCTGACATTGACAGTTGATTGACGAATTTATTAAGCAGTAGCAGTAATAGAACATTCAATTGAAATATATCTTTGAACATGAGTGACTGTAGGGAAGTGGTTTTGAAAAAATGCTTTTTGAAAAAAAGTAATCCAGTAAGGGGATGAAAGATGCGAGTTTGTTCTTTTGTTAAACTTTTCATTTTCTAATTATGGTTCGCTGTATTTTCTGCGTGTAAGCTTTATTAGAAATGGAAATATTAATTGCAATGCATAAAAGCTGAGTATTATTGATTATGAATTATTGTGACTTTCATAGCCTTTTCAGCTGTTCAAGCTGGTTGAAGCATTGTTGAAAAAACATGCTGATTTCTTTGTTTTATTCAACCCTACTTACTGTTTCGTTTTTATTCCCTGTTTTTTATAATGCTTATTATTCTAAAAAGTTTGGTTATTAGTGTGGGAGAATTTTTTTTTTGTTTGCTTTTTGAAAGGATTGCTTTTTTACTCGTTTCAAGAGTTTTACCTTGTAATTTGTTTCAAGAAATTTTAAAAGGACTAGTTTGTTAAAAAGATAAAGGAAAGAGTTTCTGCCCTAATTTATGGTGGCTTTTTAATGATAGAAATGTAAACTTTTTTCTTACTATTATTTATAGTTTTTTTGGCCGAAACAGTTGCTAAGCTCTTTTCCATCAATATTTTTGAAAAGAGTTGGAGGAAAGTAGAGGTAGAAAATCTCAACAATGTTTGATTTGGATGATTTGTGGGAAAATTCTCAAAAGTTTGATAATTTTAATTCAGGATGGCCACTTTGTCGTAATCCAGTAGTGCTATGTACATAAGCGAGCATAGTGTTGGCTTGACATACACAGCTTGTTGTTCTCTTAGTTTCGTTAAAGAAAAGTATTTTTGAAAAGGCTTGTACACTGTTCTTATTTTTAACCTTGTTTTCCGACAAACATAGTGCTATAAAGAATTTAGTGGTCATTTATTGCTGTTTCTCTCCCTGAGTTCAAAGAAGATTCAGTTGATTTTGAAGGAACGTTTTGCTTATAGAACTAAACCACAAAAAGAAGAAAGAAAGAACAAACAGACAGCAGTAACCACTAATTTACTCAATTAAATCTAAATTCCACCGCTCTAGTTTGTCATAAATTCGTTTTTTTTTTCTAGTTTGGTTTCAATTTCTTTTTTTTTTT